CTTACGAGGTTCATAAAAACGCCGGACCAGAGCCCCTTCAGGCCAGAGTTCAGGATTGTACATTTCACCCACATCATTACATTCAGCAGTAACCTTGAAAGAGCCGAACCTGCTACGTTTACCAGCAATTTTTTGACAGGTCACATCTCTAATAAAACCTAATCTGATGAAGGATGTAATGACATCCATAAAATGTTGCGAATTTGTTATTTTAATTAGCTTTGATCAGATCACCTGAGAGGGAGAGATATCTTACCACGGTACAGACTGGACCATGTTTATTTGTGGACTTGAAGAGGGGACCGGTTGGACTTGCTCATCAGCTCTAGCTGCACTGCTGTCTTGTTCCTTATTCTTTTCCTGAATAAGCTGATTTGCAGCCTGGTAGAATTACACAAAAATATACACTTTTATATAGCGTAAGTGTAAAGACTTTTATGTTACAGACAAATCCACAATGTTTTGTTAATTGTTTTTCAACAGAATAAACAAAAGTCACAGGCAAACATTTCCTACTGATCACAAAGTAGAAACAAACAACCAAAAAAGAAACCAAAAAAAACTCCAAACAAACTACAAAGCCTTTATCTTAAGTATAGCATTCATACCTTTTGGAGAAAGGGAACGCTTGATGGGCAGAGCCTTTCACAAAAAGCCAGCATCTCCATCTTGAACCGTGCAAAGTTGATTTGCTCAATTACTTCATGCTTTTTATTTTTCTTGCTGATGAGACCCATGAACAGCATTCTCTACACAGAACACAAATATTTCATTAATATAAGACACTACATGAACACCTATAAAAAATCATGAATCACCATCAATAATTTAGTATAATAAACTTTTGGTGTTTACAGTTAAAGCTAAAAAGCTTTTTATAACTACTAATTTTAACACTGTAAATAATGTCAAAATGGCAATCAATGTGAATATAGTTACAAAGACAAAACAATCAAAGAATATTGCTTAAGGAAAAATATGTTTTAATTAGTGAACTCACCCTGCCATCCATCTTCTTGGTAAAGTGCTTGTTCAGCACCTTTCCTGCTTTCTCAAATTTTCCATTCTTAATAGAAAGCATTATAATCTAAAGACAGAAACGAATAACTTGTTGAAAAAAAACCCTGATTAATGTCTTGATGCATGCTCAATGATCCAGGTAAGTTAATTCTAAAAGGTTGATTCTGTTCACCTGGACGTAGTGTTCAATGGGAGAAACGTTTCGTCACTCATCCAAGTGACTTCTACAGTCTCAGCTACTGCAGGTTTCCCCAACCTTATAAACAGTACATTTGCACAATAGCTGAAACCAGCCCACTGAATGAACAATGGGCTGTGAGGTACTTGGATGAGTGATGAAATGTTTCTCCCACTGAAAATGCTCCATCCAGATGAACAGAATCAATATTTTGGGAAACCTGATTAATAATGTAAAAACATGAATTTAGCTCAGGCTTAGTAAGCTCATGTATTCATCCTTTGTCACAAAAAAAAGATGTGTACACACACTCGCCCATGCATTTACACCATCAAGTTAGCAGCATAATAATTTCATTTACAGTCTCTGATTAAACATAATAGTGTGTCTGTATGTTTTTGTGAAAGGGAATGCAAAAACGAATCATGTGCATAAATTGAATAGGTGATTAAAAAAAACAATAAGGAAAATGCTTACCATTTCTTTAATTGAAGTGCATACATTCTTGTAATCCTGTTGTGGGATACTGAATTCCTGGCTCATACTTTCCAGCAACATTAGGGCTGATTCCAGAGGACATACTGACTGAGAAGACGTGTCTGCAGCTGGGAGGGGAAAAACAGGTTCGTTTTAGTGTTTATTCACAATGCAAAAGAAGCACATGAATCAGACTGACAGATGTGTGATAATGAATGGTCAATGTGGATCTCACCAAGTTTGTCACCTTCATTTATCCGACAAAGAAACCGCCACACTTGAATCTTTTGTGGCATGAAATCAATGGGCCCATAAGGACGAACCAAGACACCTGTAAGAAAACAATCAAAAGGCTAAAAATGCATATTTATCACAAAATAAAAAATAAATACACTCTGTTATTAGATATACTTTTTTTTTTTGATGAAACAAGTAGTAGGCAGTAGCAAAATAGTATAAGTATCTACAATAAAAACAAGATTGATAAAAAAGTCACATAAATGACATAAACCAGTGGGACATGCAACCACGAACCTACATCACAATTAGTCCAGCACACGAACCGTGACACTTTGACATATATAGAGCACTTCTTCACTTTTCAAGGATAACAAGCTTGCAAAAAATAGTTCTGGTAATCCCAAAGATACGTAGACTAGTCAAAACACGCTAAACTGATTGTTACTTACTGTCGAGTACATCTGTGATGGCACAGAAATCCTCATATTGTTCCTTTTTAAATAACTCTAGCGCCAAAAACAAATAATAATCCACTACCCAGCGGTTCACCACGGATTCAGTATCAAATTGGCGACTGTTTACGTTTTCTTTTTCCGCCATATTCATAGGGAGTGTTGGGTTAATAATCTCCGGGTTTAGCTTGTCAGGTGGCGCTTCATTCCAATTCTTTAGAGGCAGAATTCAGCAAAAGCGTAAAAAAAGACAAAACAAATCACACACCACATACAAAAACAGACAAAACGTTCATATCAAACGGAAGACTTCTTTTACTTCTTCTAAATTATATGGGCGGTTGTCAAACAACTAAATTGTGCATTACCGCCACCAACTGGTATGGAGTGTGGACGGAACGTCACTCACGCCCCAAACACCCCCCTAACCCTCTTTTAAAAACCGGAATAAGGCCTGATAATTTTCACGAGACCTTTTCAAGTAAATCAATAAGATCTTGTTTCATTTTCATATTACTGAGGTTTGGGGTCAGCTGACTTCTCTCCACCTGATACTTCTGACAGTGTAATATAACATGTTCTATAGTTTCCTCTTCTCCACAGTAGTCACATTTCCCTGTATTATGTTTCCCCATTATGAATAGTGTAGTGTTTAAACCAATATGTTCAAATCTTATTCTCCATATGACCACCTCCTCTCTCCTACTCCTTCCTGTCCTGTGCTTCTCATTTCACTCTCCTTTGAATTTTTAAACAACCACCGTCCTGTCCTTTCCTCCTCCCACTGTTTTTGCCATCTTTTTTTCATTTTTTCCTTACAATACTCTTTATCTCTGTCTGACAGAAGTTAATAACCAGGTCAACTACCCCAGAAGACACCCTTTGAGACAACTCTCAATTAATACTATGAATACATTGGTCTCAATTTAGAGTATAAAAAAAAAAGAAGAAAAGAAAAGAACTATATCTTACTCTTTGAACATATTGGCAAATCGTATGCTCGCAAAACCTCGTGCTGCCACACACTGGACTGGAAGGCGCATTACGCTTTAAACATTCAATTTTAACAGTGATCTTGATTTTGCATTTTCTTTCTTTCTTTTTGCCTTAAACAATTTGTTTTTACACATACCTGATCTAGATTTAACTAACTCTGATTTATCAAGCCCTGATAATCCAGGTTTCAATCCCAGATGAGAAAGCAGGGCTTTCCTACCCCACAAACACCAAGCTGCTACAGAAACCTCGACTAAGCAAACTATCTTGTTGCTGTAGCACTGTACAGTTTTGAGCTATTAAAACCGTTGTGACATTTTAATAACGCCTCATTTATTTTCCTGGGGAGCTTGACTAATAATAATGCAATTTATGGGCCAAAAAAAAAAAATTAAAGCTTAAAAATAATTGGTATTGTTTAGAAAGAAATGTATTTGGATAAAAAAAAAATAGTACAGTAGCAGAAAGTAACATGTTTACATTGTAAAGGCATTATTAACGCAGTTTTTTTGGTATATATAATTTTTTCCATCTGCTACATTTCACTACTCTCCAAATGAATTTAATCTTCATTTTAAGGCAACTCACTGATATTTCAGTCTACACTGGTTTAATTGGACGACACGCATAAATGAAAATGACAGCAAAGAGCGGTTTCACAGAATATGAAAGTGAGACAGTTATTGGAGAAGTGGAGAAAAGGAAATGTTTTATTTTGCAGTGTCACTTCTGGAATCTCACTATATTTGCTGAAGAGAAAAAACAATGGAAGCTATTAATACTGTAAGTGAAGAATAAAGAACATTAAGGGGCACCTATATTTACCCAGAATTACCAACAGTAATGTCATAGCAGAACTTTGTTCATCATTATTTTTAATAGGGACTGAATGATAAAATGTATGTCTCAATATGGGTTTGTGCTTGTAAACAGGAAAGGATTTTTAAATTCTCTTGGCTTATTTTTATATCTATTTCACTGCATCAGACCTGACACACACACACACACAAAAGGTTGCTCCATTCATTCTTTTTACCGATAGCTTGTTTGGGGGGAAAATATACCTGTAGATCTCAGCTAAATAGATATTTTGCTGCTTTCATATCTTTAATTAAAAGGTCTCTTCTGCTTTTCTGAGATCACAAGACTGAGAGAAATTTTTGACTTTTAAAGCTGCTCTGTATATACTAAATTGTATCTGCACTGATAACAATGTGGAATTAATCAACATTTGCGTAGCATCCTGATGGGGAGACTCGTTTTCTTCAGTGCCATGTAGTCACAATAGCATACAGAATGGATCCAATTTAAAAAGCTAATTAATGCCACTTAAATTTAGGATTATATGGGGGTGGGACCTTGAATTTTGTCCTTGTTCACTAAAGGGACGTATGAGTCATTTCCTGTAATCCTCTAGGACCCCGTGAAACATAAATGAGAACACATTAACATAAAGATGCAGACACAAAGAAACTATCAAAGATTTTTATTCTTACAGCAACATTTTATCCCTTCCTCAAAATGAAACAATCTTTGAGCCATGAACACTGAACATTTACTAAATCTATAAACTAATTTTTAAAATTGCTTAAGAAACAAAAATAAATAAATGGAGATGGGATAAAATGACATTGGTGAGTCAGACAATATTTAACTTCTTCATTGTTCTCCACCTGTCCTTCAGGTTGACATTTGTTCGATCTTTGAAGCCGTAGTGTTCCTTTATCTTACACCAGTTGCCCTCTCCAAATTTTTTGACCCCGTCTTTTAACTTCTGCGTCTCACTCTCTGTCCATTTCTGCAACACAATCGAAAGATTTGTTAGCTTTTTGCTACTGTGGAGAGTGGAAAAATTGTTTCAGTTGTTTTTAATGTAACTGACTAAAGTGAAATGTCCTCATGTGTTTCCTCATTATTCACACAGGAACTTAAATTTGTATGATGTTTGCAAATGAGTACTTTTTGTGCAAAAGAGGAACAAAATATATATGCTAAACTGTAAATTGAGATGCCTGAGTTTGACTTAGTGTAATTTATGTGAATAATCATTCAAATATAAATAACATCCACAGGAAAGTACAGTGACGGGTTAGCTTTGTAGCATGTTTTGCTATACTTACCCTTTTCCTTTGGCCTGAATTTGAAATGGTGCTCATGTCTGAGCCTTTGTGGGAAGAAAAAAAACAAACAAACAGAAAAACATTAAAACCAGATGTTTCAGATGGCAAACTTGCTTTAGTCTTATTGAATATTTATAAACATTTTATATTTAATGAAGTATAACATACCGCTCTTGTTAGGGGTAACATACGACTCTTCGTCGCCCTTGCTCTCCTTTGCATCATGGTACAGTTGCTTCCTGTGAATAAGAGCCAGAGTGTGATTTTGTTTGGCAAAATGATTAAGCACAACTACAAAAGATAAAAATTAAAAATGATTAGAACTATTAATCACGCTGGGTGAAATATTCACCCAGGTGTATTCCACCATTTTTAGTTACTCAGTTACTGGCGTTTACTAACCATTTTAAAAGACGAGGACTTTTGTTTTGACCAGAGTCCTTGTAAGGAGTGGAGGTTTTTTGTCGGACAGGATGAGAAGGTGACTCACTTGGTGAGCTCTCCACTGAAGAAGATGTGGTACGGCTGACGTCCATATTATCCTGATTCCTGAATAAATAAATAAAACTGATCAAATATCAATCATGTTGTGGACCTAAAGAAGACAATTGGGTGAGTTGGTTTTTTTTTTTAGCATCCTACTAGGATTTAGAACTTAGTTGGGTGTTTTCTGCAATGTCTAATTGGAAGGAGACCAGGACATGCTGGAGTGATTCGGCTGACATGGTGAAAACTCATATACCCTCAGAAGACCTAAAACAGGTGGCTGGGGATAGGAAAATCCGGACATCTTTGCTCAGGCTACGGCCCTCATAACCCAGAGCCAGATAAGTAGCAGAAAAATGATTGATGGTTGTTATTAGTTTTCACATCAAAGTTATTATAAAAATACGTTCAAACATTGAAAATTGACACTCTAGTAACCAGTAACAGGTGAGAAATGCACATTTGGACTTATTGCTTAGTAAACCATCAAACTGCTGTGCTGCAGCATAACTTTCCCTGCTGGATGCAGAGTCAGAGGAGTCAACTCAAACAGCTGAAACAAACGGTTTTTAATGTTGTATATCTACTAAACAGTAACTTTCTTATAACACAGTGGTTCTCAAACTGAGGGGCAGATGTAAGTTGTGGGGGATGGATGAGGCGAAACAATCCGGTCTTTAAGTGATGACGTGATGAATCCTGCTTCCCGGCCCAAGCTACTCTGTGTTTAATAAGGCTGTTGTGTATTTAACATGTTTTAATGCTTTGTATCTTGTTCTATTCAATCTCAAGTCCCTAAAAACAGTCAGTAATCACTGTCGGCCTCTCTCAGTTTTTATTACAGCTAATCATTTTAAATCTCAGTTTTTAAAACCTTACGATGTAACTGCAGCCCAGCCCACACAGCAGTATATTAATGACTAACCTCATATTGTGGATAGATTCTCTCAGTTGTTCTCCTGACTGACGTTTGGTCCGTTTACAGCATCCTGCCATGCGATTGCATTTGTCCCTAACCTTCGGGAACCCTCACATTAACTTTTTATTGAGTGGAAAAAGGTTAGCGTTCATCCTCCAGCTTCACCGTTTATATGATTGCTAGTGATCACGTAGCACATCATTATATACCAGCTAGTCCTACTTCAGTAACCCTACAAAAGTCACTGCTGTTTACTTTCCTGTCTTCATTTATGTTGGAAGTGATAGCTGAGCTGTACGTCTTAATTTTTTCAGAAATCCCTCAGTCAGAACATGGTATATTATATTTAGATGGAAACTAGCGAGCTAACTCTCTGCTAACTTCTAACTCTAAAATTTCATAGATTCTGTTTTCATGGATGCCTGGATGTTAAACTTAATTGTTATACCTGGTAGAGCAGCCACACTGATCATTTTATTACAGATGAAAGAATTTAGACAGTTTTTAACTCTCAGTGATGCTGCAGTGATCGTGTGACTTAAGGACCTGCAGCGGAGTTTGGGCCCAGGCACGGCTAATGACGTCAGACTTAAAGACCGGATAGCAAGAACATCTTGCTATTTGCTACTTTAACTTACCTGGTGCGAGTTCTGTTGGCTTGAATGTGTCTCTTTCGGGTGGGCGTGGCACTTTTTTTGTCGGTTCCCCGACACTGACGGTCTTTTTCATTAGATGCAGACAGTGTCTGTGGTGTTCTTTTCCTTCTGACCTCAGGTTCCAGTTCCTCTAAAGCGGTTGTGCAGCGTGAACTTGCCTGACTGTCTGGTTCCACCACTAGCCGAGACACAGTGTAATTCTCTCTTTTACACAGCACAATGGGATTCTTTAAGTGTAAATCTGCCCAACTTGGAGGAATGGCATTTGCTTGTGTTGGTTGGTCTGCGGGTGAAGCTTCCATAGGGCCTCCTGAGTCTCTCTGAAATAACCGTTCCTCCAAGTCCACACTTGTGCACCTCTCTGAAGTCATGGAAAGCTGTTTGCAAAAATTTTCTCTTTCCAGCTCCTCTCTGTCTACTTCTTCCTCCAACTGAGCAAATGTTTTTTTATTTAAACCTGTAGCCAGGGATTTGTAGGCCGCTTCTAGCCTGGTCTTCAGGATAAGTGAATGTGTACTGGAAGACAATAAAATACTATTAACACTAGGAAACTGAAAAACAGACAAAACAAACATCCTGACAACAAAAAGGTATGTACAGTTAATCTAATACATATATGTTTTTGCATGCATGGATAGTGTGATCACATGAGTGCAACATACAATTAATGCAGCTGCTAATGGTGAGTATTAATAAAGTTAATAATCACTTCCAATTCAAAGAAAAGGGAGAATTATTTTTCTTCACACATTTTCAAACTGACTGTTGTTTTGCCACTGATCTTAATAGGCATTACTGTGGACATTACATTAACATTAGACATTACTAACATTACTAATCAACTAAGAGAAGGGAAGCGATTACCATGGTACAAACTGGACAGTGGCTATTTGTGAACTTGAGCATGGCTGAGGTTCAGCTTGTTCATCACTTTCAGTTGCTGTGCTGTCTTGATCCACAAGGGTTTTATCAATGAGATGTTTTGCAGCCTGGGATGCATAAACCAAACACACACACACACACACACAAATTCACAACAAAGAAACTTCCACGAACAGGATTTCTGAATTGATTACATATGAAACATGGCTTGTTCTTCATTTGAATCTCAATTCTAGTCAAAAGACAATGCACTTAAATTCATAATATACAGCAAGTTGAAACTTTCATGCATTTACTAAACACAATGAGCTACTAGGACTGCTCACGAAAGCAATCTGATATTTGCAGCCGTAAACATCCTGGTCTCTTCCTCACAAAGAAAAACTTATTGATTAATACTAGTATTGGAAGATACTACAAATCAAGGTGTCAGGATATATTATATCTGAGCTGAAAGAGCTGGATCTATGAAATCCTTAATCCTTAAGCAGGAAAAGTACAGCAGGGATGTACACATGAAGAATAGACATAATAAAGAAACACATAGAAATCCTGATAATTTTACAAGATGTGCAGGCTTTAAAAAACACCAACAAAATAAATATCTCCAAAACCCTGGAGACTTGGTTTAGAGCAGGGGTGGGCAATTCCAGGCCTCGAGGGCCAGTGTCCTACAGGATTTAGATCTTTAGATCTCTGGGTCAACACACCTGAATCACATGATTAGTTCGTTACCAGGCCTGTGGAGAACTTCAGGACATGTTGAGGAGCTAATTTAGCCATTTAAATCAGCTGTGTTGGTTCAAGGACACATATAAAACCTGCAGGGACACCGGCCCTCGAGGCCTGGAGTTACCCACCCCTGGTTTAGAGGGTACAGTTTAATGTTGGACTGCAGTTTAATGCTGTCAACCTCATGTAACAGCAATTTCTTTGCAGATGCACCGGGCAGTGTACATTCCATTTGCTGAAATGTCTAAATGCAAAGATGGGCCAATGTTGACCCCAAATGTTTAAAAGGACTTCACATTGCTTAAAGTTATTCTATTGATTAGTTTCTATAATTAACTTGAAAAAAAAAACCCAAACATATTTAATACAGAGCATGTATACCTTATGAAGAAGAGGAAGGCTGAAGTGGCAGATCCTCAGGCAAAACGTAAGCATCTCCTCCTTGAAGTGCTGAAAGTTGATTTGCTCAATGACTTCATGAATCTTATTCTTTTTCCTGATGAGACCCATGAATGTTGCTCTCTACAGAAAATGTGAGAAATGTGGCATTAAAAATATAATTTGTTTAAATATCTTAGCATGCACCATTTTAATTTTTGAATAGTTTTAGGGATGTAATAAAATCAGACCCAACATTGTTTAACATTCATGTGAGAGAAAATGAAAACTAGCCAATGCAGTTATTTGATGGTTTTGTTGTAAAGGGGGAGGTTGGCCACTGGAGGGAGCTGGAGCTAAAAAACAAATGCAGAAAAAGTTGGGGAGGATTCTACAGTGAAATGAGGCTCCACCATCCAAAGATCACTCAGTGATCAGTCAACCACAATCCAGATAATAAAAGGGACACTTATAATGCATGCAAGCTAAACCATTTTAATTTGTCTTTTCCACATGATGTCTTCCTGCACCAGCGCTATCATCATATCAGCACACTGATGACTGTGGCTGGTGAGGAGATGCAAGATGGGAAAGTAGACTGTCCATTATCCAGTATATTTATGGCCTAAGCTTGCAAAGCCTAGTAGATCTGAAATGAAATTATCCGTTGTGTCTTTGTCTACACTTAAAAGCTATAAAACGATTAGCACCACATCATCACCATCTTCTGAAATTTGATTACGAGCCCTTATTTGTTATGTTCAACATGTCAAAAAGCTTCCCATCCTGGTTGTTTTGTATTACACAGCATATCAACATTGATATGACAATGCTTATCAATTTTTAAACAAGACTTTACAAAATAACTTATAAGCAGGGATAAAGTTACACACTGACTTTAATGTAAATGTTATTATCGTGTAGTGAAAAAAGGTTTTAGCGAGTAACCTCACCTTTCCGATATTTTTGGGAGGAAAGTGTTTCATCAGCACCTCTTCTGCTTTCTCAAACTTACTGTTTTTGATGAAAATCCCCACAATCTAAAGACAGAAATATATTATTTGTTAAACAGAATAGAATTAGAAACCACTGTTTTGATTGCCTTTGTAGACGTATGTAAGAATGTAAAAGCTGAACAAGTGCAGATATTTAAAATGTAAAAACAAAACCAACCCACTTAATTTAGGGAGAAGTTGTCTTTGAATGGAAGTACAATAAAGGAATTCAGCTCAAGAGAAATGCTTACCATATCTTTAAGAGAAGAGGACACCTTTTCATACTCCTGCTGTGGGATACTGAATTCCTGGCTTATTTTTTCCAGTAACATTAAGGCCGATTCCAGAGGAGTTGAGGGCACATCCATTTCAAATGAAACACCTGTAGGCAAAGACAAACCAATATTCCCTGTTGTGTTTATTCACAATATTAAAGTATGACGAGATGTCAACCTCAAATATGAATTTAGAGAAAGCTGTGAATCAGGCTATTGATTATGACAGAAATCAAACTTAGTTTTGTTATCAAGTATTCTATCAATTGAGTAATAATGGAAAATTACATTTGTCTCTTTAATAAGCAATTTTTAAAATATTAAATATTAAAATGAGAAAAAAAACAGTTCTTTTAAAATAAACTGCTCATTGCTCTTTTAGAAACGATTTTTGTTTAAAAACCTGAGCAGCTTGAGAGTAATGTTTTTAACACACCCATGCTCTTAGATATGTTTCTGCTACGTTGTCTGTTTTTAGTTGCAAATGTGAGTGACGCCGTGACAACTGAGCGCTACAGAAGCAGTCCTAGTATTGATATGTCGCCAGATGTCCTTTATATACCATGTATACACTCACTGGACATCACTGGACTATTAGGTACAATAATACCAATAAGTTTCAAAAGCTTCTTAATAGAAATTTCTAAAATCCCACCACAGCAGCTGTAGCACATTTAGGGATTTGGATATGGTAAAGACTACGTGTGGAATTCAAACCGAGCATTAGAATAAGAATTTCAGTGACTTTAAACATGGCATGTTTGTGGTGCCAGACAGGCTGGTCTGTGCATTTATGATGTACTGGGATTTTCTCTAACAATCATCTCTAGGGTTTAGAGAGAATGGTCAGATAAAGAGAAAACATCCAGTGAGCAGCAGTTCGCTGAATAAAAATTGTTGTGTTGATGCGAGAAGTCAGAGGAGAATTGTGAGACTATTTTGAGTTGACTCATTCACTCAAAATGGAAAATTCTGCCTGGTCTGGTGAGTCTTGATCTCCGCTGTGACTTTAGCATGTTAGTCCCCAATTCTGTTGTTAGTTGATTCTGTTCATCTGAACGCAGCGTTTTCAGTGGGAGAAACGTTTCGTCAGTCATCCAAGTGACTCCTTCAGTCTCAGCTGACTGTAGGTTTCCCCAATCTTATAAACAGTACATTTGCATAATGTCTGAAACTAGCACCACCTCAAGTAGTGAAATAATAAATAAAATAAATAAATAAAAATAACTCTAATTACAAGCTTTTATTATTTATATTGGCCTCTAAATGTGTCTAACTGTGGCATAACTGTGGTACAATGTATTGCAGTTTAGTTACATACCCTTTTTTAATCATTTGACAGGTAAGTTATTACATTTTTGCAAATGATTTATTTTGATGCACAGAGCTGTACACTGATGTCGCTTAAAGAACCACAGTAATACTCATCATGATCATGTTGATAAATGTTGAGCTCACCAAGGTTTTCACCCTCATTTATCCGGGATATAAACTGCAACACTCGAAATTTCATTGCGATGTCATCCGTGGACTCCAAAGGGCGCGCCATAATACCTGCAATAAAACAATAAAGAAGCTTCTTATTTCCCCCAAACACACAGAAATTAATAACACCAAATAGCCTACGTAACTGGCAATAATAGATGGCTATATGCCCACTTTTTAACGTCTACTGAGGTGTCTCAAATTGAAGGAATACATGGCCGATTTTCACACAATTTTACCGATTTTACTGACTGGCTACAAATAACATTTTCAGGTAATGTCAGAATCATGTTTGTCAGCATTAGAAGTACAGCTATATAAACACTTGGCATTATGACAGTCCTGTTGATACTCCATTATCATGTCACCTGGAGAGAAGTCTATGCCCTAGAAACAAGTTCAATAAATAAATAAATAATTTAAAAAAAACGCCAAAAATAAGGCGTATGGAGGTTGTATTTGAGGAAAAAGATGTCTTTTGTGTGGTAATAAAACTATAAATATGTCATTAAAATCACCTTTGATTTTTTTCTTAAAAGACACATTTTAGTATGTTGAAAAACCACTACGTGAACGTACATACATGTAAACAGAACTGAAATTGTTCCTTGTGTATATAAAAGACCAAAACAAATAAATAAGAGCAGCCTCGCTCGACATAACAAGACGATGAGTCCGCTTACTCTCACAACAACACGATTCATGAAATTTCCCCCGTTTATTCATTTATTTTCTGTCAGCTGACGCCTGCAAAGTTTAAGAGCATGTATTATCGTAACCAAGATAGAAGACAACTTATAAAGGAGCACTAATATTTAAGTCCGCTAACTTGTATTAAGTTTGGTACGAAGTTAGGCAGTTCTGGCAGTACTATAGCTGGTTACGAGCTAGCTAAACTAGTCAAAAACACTGCTTATACTTACAGTCGAGTATATCTATAATGGCACAGAAATCCTCGTATTGTTCATTTTTAAAGAACTCTACTGCCAAAAAGAAGTAATAATCCACTAGCCAGCCGTTCACGACAGATTCAACGCTCACTTGGTAACTGTTTACAGTCTCCTTTGCCGCCATATTCACGTTAAGTTAAACGGTAAAGCAGGAAAGCATTTAGGGTGAAGGCGGGGAAAATTTGAAGGCTGGCCGAAAGATACGAAGGGGGACTTTATTCTCCGAATTTAGTTTTTCAGGCACACTTAAGTCATTCCAGTTGTACAGAACCACAAGACAAACTCAACCAAGACAATAAATATCCCCAAATAACGTTTAAAAGTGTAAAAATTGGTGAAACTACAATCATGACTGCCAGTCCAATATCAAAAATACAAAATTTGATTAAGACTTTAAAAAGAGTTCTGCCTGAAAGTCAAAATTCAGCTTACAAAACACAAGCACTTCGTCTCTGAGCCGACGTTGCACTAGCAGGATAGCACTATGCTGCCACCCAGCGGACTGGAAGAAGCAGCGCTGTTCTTTTAAAGACATTTCTTTTCAAATGTTTTTTACTGCATTACTTGTACCTTGCTAGCGTTTTGCTCCATCGCTGCCTACTCAGCTCACCTGTACATTGCTGTAATATTTGCATTACAACAATACTAAAAGTTTGGTGTTCCCCTATTGAAATAATTGCTCTCCTTTACATTTTTGTGCATGTCTGTTTCTGGGGAGGGATTCTGAATGAAGCTCAACTAAACTTTGAAGACTTTAAATGCTTAATTATGTAATTACAGTGTGTATTTTTTTTTGCTGCTGATTTGCTTAGTAGATGTAGAGTTAGTGATGGTGCGTGGGGTCAACCTTTTTGTATAGTGAACAAGGGAGGTGAAAAAGAGTGTAGGCAGTACCAGATGGATGGAATTAAGTGGCAGTATTTATTTCTGACAGAAGGAAAGGAGGAAGAGCGAAAGGGAAGGTTTTAAAAGCTATGATGTATGGTTTGGATATGGTGGCACTAACAACAAGACAGGAGGTGGCAGAGCTAGAGATTTTAAGGTTTTTGTTGATAGTAACCGGCATGCACAGGAGAAGAAATTAATATATCAGAGGGATGGCTCAGGTCGAGCATGAAGGAGACAAAGTTAGAGAAGCACGTCTGAGATGGTCTGGACATGCACAGTGGAGAGATTGTGGAATATACTGGACAAAGGATGCTGAATCCAGAGCTGCCAGACAGGAGGAAACGAGGAAGACCACATAGAAGGTTCAAGGAGGTAATAATGAAGGTCATGCAGAGGGTTCGTGTGACAGAGGAGGAAACGAGGGGTAGGGTGAGACGGAGCAACCCCTAAAGGAAGCAACTGAAAGATGATTTGCACACTGCAGCTGGATCACAAATGACTTAATATACATATACTCCATAATGTATGATGAAAATCAAAATCCACTCCAAATTCTGCCCAACCTCACACTTGCTGAACTGCTTTAAGCAAATCAGGAGCACGTGAGCATGAGTATGACAGGCAATTAATCCGAGTGTATAGCTTTAAATTAATCAAGTTTATTATGTAAAAGTATGACATTAACAATATAAGACATCATAAGATTATGACACCATTAAAAAAACTTGAATAAAACATTCCATTTATATATTGTTGATAGTAACCTTTATACTTTGCTTGTAAAGCTGAAGGACTTTTGTTCTTGAAGAAACATTCTCTCAGGAGTGTAGGACACAAAACTTTCACAACTGTTCATGGTGATATTAACGGTAAATCTGTGATCAAACACCCATCCTGTTAAGAACCATTACGACACAACACAAAATTCTCTCTATCCTTTATATTCTGCAGGACTCTGCTTCAACTGCCAACTACTGTGAGGAGAAAAAAAAAAGCATTGACAGAATAGTGTTGTATTGGTTTAAGCATCTTTGCATGTTGTTCAACATTCATCTTCCTGTGGTGATTGTAGCTTTTTAAAGTCATACAGCGGAAAGCAGAGATCATCAGTGTAGTCCTTCAGCATTCATCGAGTCTGTTACCAAATATGAAAAAGACATGAGACAGTTTAAGAGTTCGGTCATGGAGCAGGACGTCCTATTGTCAAATACTTGACCGTATCAATCTTGCCCAAATGATACCAATCAAATTCAAATGCTTTGACACACCAATATCTGCAATTACTTTTGTTTATGTACCCACAACAACTCCAACTTACAGTTCAGCACTGCATTAGAACTGTTATTTCTTTTGATATTTGCCTCTATTCTAATGACATAATAGTTTATTGGACTCGTCATCATTTCCTGCAACACATTTATTCAGCTGCTGCATGATTAGCAACATATACGCGTGCAAAACTAAACAATGGGAATTTTAGTATTATTTTCTGAGAAATTTTAAACTTCTTTCAGTTATAAAAAGTTTCATTTTCTACTTTCTATGAAGCTTAACTTTTAACAGTTTTCAGTTTTTAGCATGTTAGGGACTTGTTGAATGTTCTATGATCTATATATAGTGAAAGTAAAGCAATGTTTAAATAGGAAATATATGAAATCCAGCAGAATACAAATGAGAAATGAGGCCAGCATTAAAATAATCCCCTGATATTAATTAGCTTTCAGTGCTGTGACCCTTCTGATGACAGTGCTGTCAAATACCATTCTAATGACAGCATGTTTTTCACAACATTACAGCCATAGAGCATCAGATATTATTTATTGTAAACAGTGGACACACAGTTCCTTTTCTTAACGACCACAGATGAAAACAAACAGCAGTAATATAGTAAGAGTCTAGACTTGACAATACTTTGATAATACCAGCCTGTGCATCTGGACTTGACTGTAAACTGCAGATTCGAAAAGCCACATTCATCCAGTGCCAACAAACTCGTTAGTTAGGCAGAGTGAAGTTAGGAGAGTGGCAGCCACAAAATTGATATTTTCAAAAATCACAATATCTTTCAATCTCAAAAATTCAATTGATTTGATGTTTCAAAGGCATGGCAAAATGTTATAATAACACTGGGAAAGTGTCTGCTGCTGTCCTGCCACTAGATGGTACATGCCTGAAACTTTTGCAGTAATAGGAAAAAAGGCCTCACAAGCCTCTGCTGAGCTCCCCGAGACCGTATTAAAGCTCGTATAGTGAGCCTGGTACCTCAGTCTTTTTCAGCAAAGCACTCTTTTCAAATCTACAAGCTGACTTCACAATGGAGCTTTGCACAGTCGATCAGAATGTGAAAACAATGAGCCAAAGGAGGTTGTGCTAACGTTTCAAACCTTCCTTTTCAACTCATTGTTACACACGGTGGCCAAGGAGCATGTAAAGTGACCATGTCTGAGACTTGGCTCTGTCTTGAGGGCTTATAACGTTGTTTTTTTGGGTTTTAAATTGTTTTGAGGCTTTTTCGGCCTTTTTTTTTTTTTGTTAAATTTCTTCTTCCCCGGAGTTTCCTTTTGTTTTCCCCCCCGGGGTTTAAAACAAAACAAAACATGACATTAAACAACGCAAACTTAGTAACATTTAGTCTTCGGCCTAATTCACGTCATCATGAAAGCACAGCCATCAGTTGTCCTGTTGTTTAACTGATTGCAGAGATAAGGAGATGTTGATCAGCATGTAGGAGTGATGGAAATGGATACACATATACAATTATTACAAAATGTTTTGTCCAAATGAAGACTAGCAGTAGTCGTCTCCTGTGAGTCATGGTCATCTGCTGAGGTGTGCACATGGTGATAAAGCTTCACCAATAAATTTCTTTTAGCTCGAGTAACCTAAACAACTTTATCTCGAGGACCCCCCCCAACAAAAAAAAACAACAGAGATGAAGAGATAGAAAAAGCCAGCTCCTAGATAAGAATGAGCATTGTGTTCATTGTAGCTTGTTAAGATGATTAAAGCCTCATTTTCAGACTAAGATGCTGAATGAAGCCTTATACATGCAGCACAGTTCAAACTCTAATGACCACTGTGCTCCATAACCAAGCTTTTTCCTCAAGTGTCATGTAAGTAGTGCATGTCCTTGACTGTGAATCCCTTGTCAGTGGTTCTCTTGTCTGGGCCAAAAGAAAAATAATTCAAGCACTTTCCATTTCGACCCACTTGTGTGGCTCCAGTGATGATGAAAGATGTTGTTGATCCATCCCTCAAAAAAAAATTATTCAAAGACTTTTCTCCAATCTCATGTGCACAGCAAACAAAACATACTCAAGTTGTGTCCCAAGGTGCATTAGTTGAGTTCAAACAGCATCTTGGATGGTGGGGAATAAAAAGACTCACTTGAGTTACGTACTGCATGCGTTACCAAACAACACAAACCACATAGCTCCTCATTTTGCCCACCCTGCAAAAAAAAAATCCTGTTGTTCATCTGATTTGTGCAAAGCAATATCACATGTGTTGGATCCACATCAGCATGTGATAGACAACACAGACTCTCAGTAGTGATTGTGATACACTTGGGTCCCATTACTGCAGAATGTTTTGTCACCTACTCAGGAAAGACGCCGCAGGAGGTTCATGGTAGCTCCAGTCGAAGAGGGCATAGAAGAAATCCTTTTTTTCCACCACACCAGACACGGTGAGGTGTCGGTGAGTTGCATCAGTCTGCAGTCTTCTCAGACAGAAAACTCAGACCCACCACGGCGACCGTGGGTCAACAGCATTAGGCGCCGCAGACGCAGGCCTGTGAACGGATTGCACCACAGCAAAGATGGCGAACCCCCAAATACAGCTTTCATGCCATCCCATCTCATGCGACGCTCCCAAGTGGGTTTCTCGTTTTTAAGACGTTCAATTTCCTGCAACACATTTGAAGCCACCAGAAAGGAAAGATTCTCAATAAGTTGTCCATTTCCTTTCTCATTATCATGCTAACACAAACATTTACGCAGAGAACTAGAACGAAAGTCATTGCATATTAAATATACTACTATAGCTAAAGAAATTTAATGTACGCCTGAACAATGTCTCAGTTGATTATTTTATAAATAATATATCACTGCTATCTGGGTACACAACTTTTAGGTGAATTTCCTGTGACTTTTACAGATTAAAATTAATGAATGATCATGATTACCAATGAGATGACATTGCTGAGGCAGTAATATGACACCGTAACAACTTGATAAAATTAGTCTAATTAGTCTATGACTTCTTTCTTCGATTCATGCACATTTAATCCCTCCACTGCTGAAAGGAACAAAGCTTGGTTGGCGCAGTAGATACTGACCGTCTCGTCATTGCAGATGGAGTGGATCTGCGTACCAAACATTACAGCTGTGAAAGTGAGGAAGAGGATGGCTTCGAGACACAGGAAGATAAGCAGCAGCACAGACACCCCCGGAGAGAACTCACTGCACTCTGGTTAGAGGAACAAAGTTAGAGGTTTCAGAGTGCGCTGAACAACTGAGTAAAACAGAATATAAAATGCCAATCAAATAACAATACATTTAAAATAGGACAGATTCTAAAAGGGTAAATGTCTTCCCTTTGGGGGTTTAAAAGTCACATAGGTCACTGGATAAAATCTAGTGCAGACCATTAAAATAGTCCCTTTGCTACAATACAATTGCTCAGGTCAGAGTATTATCCTGTAGAGACGAAGAGAAGCTAGAATTTGAAGAATGAAATATTATCTTCATTT